AGCACATCAATTAGGATTTTGTATAAAAATTTGTAATCTACTATAGTTATTCCTCTTTAAAATCATAACACTTTTTTTTATTTATAAAAGAGTTAGGATAAATTGAAATGCAATTTTATTTCATTCTTTTTTATTTTTCAAATCAAATCTCATTTAGTAAGCACTTGATATTTTCTTAAACATAATTTTTTTTAAAAAAATATGTATTTGAAAAATTAAGAAGTGTCATGAATTTGGTGGCATCCAATTGTAAACACTTTTAAATTTTAGATTTTGTTTCAAGTCTGACTAAAATCACCTATCAATTTATATTTATTATTAAAATATTAAAATTTTATAATATTAAATATATTTTAAATGTAAAATTAAATAATTTTTTAATATAATAATATTTTGAATCCATACTTAAAAAGTTATGCATAAAATCATAAATTTGACCCATAATCCAACTAATGAACATGTCTACTTCCTAATAAAGTTAAAAAATTATATTCAATTACGATTCATTTGTGTTTTTTTTTTTTCTTTTCTTGAATTTTGAAAAACATTCATTAATCAAACATGAATATGAATTTAAAACTACATATTTTCTTAATTTATTTTAATTAGTTTAATTAAATTAAATTTATTTAACAACTTTCTAAGATTTAATTGATATAAAATTACATATTTTTCATATGATAAATAATATTATCATACTTAAAGTATATGAGATTATTTGGTAAGAAAAAAACAATTGAAATTAAAAAAAAAATTTTGTGATTTTTTAAAAAACCTTCTAATTAACCATAATTTATAGGATTTTTTTTCATTGTATTTTAACTATAAATTAATTTCAAGCATAAATAATTAGATATATATATATATATATGATTTTGTCTTTTCTTTTAAATTTTAAAAATTTAAATAGCTAATAATTTTTTAAATATATTTATTTGATAAATAACATAAAATTAGAAATGATCTTACGTGTCATCATGAAGATAAATTTTTTTACACATATAAATTATTTATGATTACCTTATTAAATAAATAAAAAATAATTAAATTAAATGATAAATAGTTTTTAACTTGCTACATCACAAACTAAATCTCCTAAAAAAAAAGGGTTTCAATTACAATTAAAAAATAATTGATTGAATAATAATTAAAAGTAAATCAATAAAGTAAGATAATCTGTGCATTGCAGGGGTAACAAACTAGTTATGATAGAAATGATAGGATCATGATAGTTTTTATTCCATATGTTAGGCAAAAGCCACCCAATCAATTAAACATCCAAGCCTAAGGAAAGAAAATTAAACAATCAATCAGCCAAACAAGAAATAACAATTTAATAGAGTTTAGCCCAATCAGCTTATGTTTATCGATGGGAGAAAAGATTCAATAGTTATAGAGAATAAGAAACAAATCAAATCATCAACAATTAATCTCAAATAAATCAATACCTATGGAGCCTCTCATTCTTCTTTAGTCCTATTGAATATTTTAAACCCAAACAAGTATATATCTATATGGCTCACCATAAATATATTGACCATCTTGTTCTTCTATAATCCATTCAAACGTACACACCTATAAGGATCATTTCAATCTCAGCTAATCTTGTGGGGTGTCTACCTAATAAAATCCCATAACTTTCTTGTAGTTTTCTCTTATATCTAACTCTATAGAGACTTTCATTATTTATAAACCTATTAACTTACCTATCAAGATTTTTTTTTCTCTAAAAATTTTCTTTTGTAAGCTTTATTGTCCATCAAGTAATATTTAGACAATCTCAAAATAATCACAAACAAATCTCTTATAAAATTTGAGTCAATCTTAACAATCTCCATCATGACTCAAATTCTATCAAATCATCTTTATACTAGACATGTTTGGCTTAATATGCAATGAAAGTCTCGTAATCATCTTTTCTTTTATGTCTTAATTGCTTTATGCAAATTGATCTCTCAATACATGAACTTAAACTTTTTCTTGAATCGAGTTCCTCTAGACTTGTCTCTTTTCATGTCTTGAATCTTTACTCTAATACTAGTTATTAGGAATCCCATCCACAAGCTTTAAACATAACTTTGATAACAGTTGCAAGAAAGATTATGACAATTATGATTCTAGTTGTTAGGTAAAAAGTCCTCAATTAATTAAATAATTAAACCAGTAAAAGTATGATCAAATAATCAATCAACCATATAAAAAATAGTAATTTAACGTGGTTCAACCCAACCAACCTATATGCACAGAGGAGAAAAATATCCTTTAGTTATACAGAATTACATACACATCGTCAACAATAAACCAATAGCTCACAAACCAATCCCAAACAAATCAACCAATTAACCTAGGGAGATTCAATCTTAATACCAAATGTGCACACATGGATCCTTTTATTATCTTATAATCCTATGAAATGTGATCAATCCAAACAAATATATATATATATAATGTGGTTCATGATACACATGTGGATCTTTTTATTCTCCTCTAGTCCATTCAAATATACACACTCATAAAAGACTCCCTCAATCTCCTCTAGTCCTATGGGTGCTTACTCATTAAAATCCTATAATTTTCTTATATCTTTCTCTCATGTTTAATCTTGTAAAGACTTTCACTATTTATAAGTCTATTAACTTACCTATCAAGAATTCATTTCCATTTAGAATTATTCTCTTGCAAGTTTTCTTATTTATTAAGTAATATCTAACTAATTTCGAAAATTTTTTTAACAAATATCTTATAAATTTGAGTCAATCCCAACAAAAAAACACAATATGAAAAACAAACAAAAAAACATAGTATGAAAAACAAATTACTTATAATATCATCAAAATTTGTTACATGGAATCACACACACATATAAATATATATATATATATATATATATTCTAAAAACAATCTTATGTGCAAGAAATAATATAAATTAACAAAAAATTTACTAAATAAACAAATGTATTTGTAAAAGAAAGGCCATCACTAAAAGAAAACAACGGGTCACTTCTTTTGTTATTCACCTAAACTCATAAACGTGTCTTTCTCTAGTTTTGTGATGTATTATACTTATTTATATGCTCAAACCTTAATTTTTTCTTCTAAAAGAATTGTATGAAAATTAAATTGTAAATTGAAAAAATAAAAAAAATGTAATTTAAAATTTTAAAAAATTTTAGAATAACTCTTGTATAACAATTAAGATGTATGGATAATTTTTTTTTTTAAGTTAGAAAGGACATAATAGTAAATGATTAAAGGAAAAATCAAATTCCATGCAAAATGTGTACATATTTGAAATATGAATTTAATAATTGTAATTGAAAATAGATATATAGTGCTCTGAATAATTTCCTAATATTTAAGGATTTAATATAAAAAACTATTTAAAATTTAAATATTATATATATATATATATATATATATGAAAAAGTGAGGCTTTAGATAAATTTTGTCTTATTTAAATTAAGATAAACAATTGAAAGACTTGAAGTAGTCTAATTTTTAAAAATGTTTAAAATAAAATAAAATAATTAATTGCATAAGGTTATTTGATAAACAAATAAATAAAATTATTATCCTTATTCCCATCAAACAATAAAGTTTTACACCAATTAAGAGCTCAAGTATCTATCAACCAACAACCAAAAGTTCTCTATCTTATTTTTATCACTTTTAAGCTTTGTCTATTCTATCAAGTTTACACTGATCTTAAAATTCTAAACATTCATCGACCAACAATCGAATTTCTATCATCTTAACACTGAAATTTATAAAATATAAATACTTAAAAGGATATTTGTGTATGTGTGTTTATATATATGTATGTGTGGAGAAGGATCAATTTACACAAAAATTTTATATTTTTTTAACTATTGATTTTAATAAATCCAAAAAATGAGATAGATAAATAAAAAATAATTTAATTTTATCCCTTAAATTTGTTAAAATTAATTATTAAAAAATATATAAACATAAAAATTTTACATTGATATAAGTTGATAAATTTCATATAATATATATATATATATGCTAAACACTTAAATTAAACGTTTCTTAGATTTTGCTTCATATATCAATTTTAAAGCAGGTCAGCAATTTTCTCTTCATTAATTAGCAAGATTAAAGGTCTAGTGAAAACAATTACCATGCAAGAAGACGAAAAACATGTATATCCGTTTTCCTTCGCTCACACCCAAATCGGATCCCACTTTATAATTAAAGAATGTAAATAGGGAAAATACTAACTTTATATTGAAAAATATAATTTAAGCTAATATTTAGAAATTGCAAAACGATGCATTTATTAATAAGAAGATCATTAAGAATAGAACAATCGTTAATATTTCACAAACAAAAAGAAAATAGATGATGATCAAACCTAGCGTGTCTGGCCAATTTAATAGCTTTTGTCTAAAAGCCTTTTTAACAGTTATGGCTAATTTAATAGTTTCCTTGCTTCCTTCGATGAAACTGAACTTCGTAATTGAAAAAATAAAAAAGAATTCAACATTCAATATAAAAACTTAATTAATTGAGAAAATTTTACAAAAACAAAAAAAATCAATCTATACATATTATTCAAGTTGTCTCAGAACAGGATTTACTTTACAGCTCTGTCAAGAAATAATTGAAAGGTAATGTATTTCAAACTATCCAAAAGCTTTTAGAAAATAACAAATAATTGAATTGAAAAAAAGAAACAAACAAAAATTGAGGAAAAATGAAGAGCAAATAAGGACGCTAATAGATTAAATCGAGTTTGAATAAATTTTTATTTATTTTAAATATGATATGATTTAATTTTTTAAATTATTTTATATTTGATTTGATTTGGTATTATATAAAATCGTTTTTTGATTTAAAGGTATTAAAATATTATTTTTAATATAAATATAAATTATAAATATAAATAAATATAATTAAATAATTAATTAAAAATAAATTTTTATAAATATATATCGGGTTGAATTAAAATGAATTTATTTAAAATCTGACGCTTATCCGATTTCAAAATTTTTTTTAATTATTATTTCACTTCATCTGATCTGAAATTCGATTTAAAAAAAAAATCAATCATATGCAGTCGCATCGGAACTCGCCGATTATGGGTGGGTTTGCATCCCAGCTACCAATTCAAAGCAGCTCTGAAATCTTTCACCGAGAGGGGAGAGAGCGCATGACGATGATGGCGATGCAAGAAAGCATTGTCGTATTCACCATCCTTCTCCTTATGTTGCTCCTTATCATCATCCTCATCCTTTTCGCCTTCAAACCATGGTGCTTCTTCTTCTCGTTCTCCTCTCGCCCTTGCACCATCAAGGTACCATTCCTCCCCTTTCCATTTACTTTATCAAATCTTCTTTCCTCTTTTTTTCCTCGATTTCGATTTATTTTTTATCACAGAAAGTTTTTGTTGGATTATAAGGAAATCTATTTCACGAACATTGATTTAGGTTTGATTATATATTTGTCATTGCGGATACTGTATATAGTAAAATATAATTCACCTTTCAAGTAATTGTAAAATTTAACTAAGAAGGAAAGAAACGGTTAACAATCTTAATTACTAATTTCATAGATTTTAAGTGATTGACTAATTAATTATCAAAGTGAAGTGTACGTAATTACCTGATCATGGTTGTTAGTAGCATGTGGAGAATCCAGTTATTTACTAGCTACCGTGGATTTGAAACGCTCAACCGAGAAAAAGGAAGCTATATTTCATGGAAACGAAAGTGGGATTAAAGTTCAAGAAGAATTAGATTGGAAATTAGGATAGCTCCAAGAAGAACCCCTGGAATCCACCATTGAAAATGCCCTGATATGATGAACAATCGCAGAGCTGGAATTTTTTTAAGGTTTTATTTGTTAATAAATATTTGATTGATTTCTGGTATTTACGAGCTTTTTTAATTTTGATTTCGAGTCTGATTTAATTGAAGAACTTTAGGTTGATTCATATATCAGTTATTTTATGTGCAATGAATCAATGCGGCTAGTTTAATTAGTAATGTTTTGAATAAATAGAAAAGGACTCTGATAATGTAGGTAGTTTTATTTGTGGTTCAGCTTTCAGTTTGCTGAAATCAGTGGAAATGCAATGCAAATTTACTTGATATTTGGGTAGATTTTTTTTTGGTAATTTTTTGTGGTGGCAGAAAAGCTGTCCCCATATTCTTCAAAAGGGGACAGGTACTCAATGTCTTTAGAAAGGATTGAGGTTTATATTCGGGGATAGAAACGTGTAAAAATAAAAGCAAGCAAGGCAGAGATGATGAAGCAATGAAGAAGGCACCAGACCAACTTGCGCAAGCCTTTTCATCACCTTTCCCGAGATTCCTCATTTCCTTTCCTCATCACTTCTATCACTCTCTTTTCTTTCCCCTCCTTTTATATGGTAAAATCGTAATTGATTTTAAATTCTTCTATTACTATCCTTAACATTTCTTCTGCTGAGAGAGATTTTGAATAGGGTAGCTGAAGCGGTTCTCCGATCCTGAAGTAGATTTTATTTCTGATATTCATTTTAACTGATGCAGCAAGCAACAGGTTCGCATTGCAATGCAAGATGCCAGCACAACTATATCAAAGGTACAACAGTTATATTTGGAAAATTTTTTCATTACTATTTTTATGATAGATAATTGCATAGTTTATTCTGCAGGGTCTGGAAATTACCAATGGAGAAGACAAATATGAAATTGTTTTGGGGATGAAGGAACTAGCTAGCAGAGGAATGGCTGCTGAGAATGTGGAGGAAATTAATGCATTGGACCCAAACTTCTTTGTGCAAAATCCTGTTTTGCTGTTCCAACTCTAGCAGGTCAATTGATTTTACACTGGTGGAGGCTTCATTAATTAAAAATTCAGGGTAAAAATTTCTGTTTAAATTGCCCACGCAAAGAATGTTATTTTCGCTGTTATGGTTGTTTTAGGTTGAATTTCAATTTTGTTGCAAACACTTACGAGTAAGTATCCAAAACTCTGAAGTTGAAAGAATATGAATATTAAGTTTAAAATCGGAATATCCAATTTAGTTTTAAGCATCTTTTACTTGATAATTTTGTTTAATTTATTTTTCTTTGTTGATAAGTTCATTGACATTTGAAGGAGTTTGGAGATTGTTAGAGAAATAGTTTGGGTTCATTGTCATTCCTCAAGAAATGCCTGTTAAAGGCACTCTTTTATTTTTTTAGGTTTTTTTTTTCCTTGGTATTGCTTCTATGTTACATTTTTTTTTTTCTTGATGAGATTGTTTTGCTTATTTAGCTTTCATGCAAATTTTGGGTCTTTTTTTGTAGAAAGGAATAAAGTTATTAACTATCTAATTAATTCCAAATACAACTGCAACTTAGAAATTTTCTCAATTGCAAAAATAATGTTATTTACTTTGGGATTCCACAGCGTGTTATTTTTGCTAATGAGTATTGGCTTATTCGAAATTGGAGAAATCGCTCTATTTTTTAAAATGGCTGTAAATGGCTTAGCAATGATGCTTTACTTATCATTGAAAAAGCTAAAGAATTATTGTTGGCTTTAAAGAGTAATGATCTTTGCCACAAGATATTCTTAATGGTTGGTAATCACTTTCACATAACCATGTTAAAAAAATATCGTGTTTTCTAGCTTAAGATTTTAGTATCCTAAATGTGATGTGAATCTGCAATATTTGGCTTGTGTTCACGTTGATATTGATAATTTTGTTCCCACTTTTACATAAAAGAAATCTTAATATCATGAGAATATCGAAATTATTTGAGTGTATTTAATTTTTCCTATTTGTTGGATGAGTTTGTTGAGCAAAAGATAAGAAGTTTGCTTCTTTTTTTCTATTGATTGTCTTTTGTGGTATTGTTTAATGAAAATTATGATACTTTTATTTACTTTTTCCATTTTTAGAGTTAATTAAACTAATGTTATGGAGTATTTTAATGTACCGGTGTATATCATGTTCAAGCATGTTGAATATAGTTAGTGAACTAGCTAATTTGGGACTTAAATTTTCTTTTGTGATAATAGGGGTGTATAATTGACATAATTTTTAGTTCAATATTATGGTTCCACCTGCATGTGGTGCCTCGGCATGGAAGTTTATCATTATCTGGTTTAAACTAAAAGGGAGTGTCTACTTTGGCATATTTTTTAGGGTCTACTTTGGCATATAACTACAAGACACCACATATTAGTGCAACCTAAAATTAAGAATGTACACTTGCTTTTTTACATGTGTGTGTTTATTTTAGCATTTTTTAGGTGTCATATGTTGTGCGATACTCTTAATAACAAGTTTGGCATTTTTTTTAAGTGTCCTACAACTTGAGAATCTTTATTTTCTTCATCCATTTTATTTGATGTTTTCCTATTTCTTGAATTGTAAGAATTAGAATTCAAGTATTATTGGTCATCACAAGCATTATTACTTATTATTGGTCATTACAAGCATTATTACTTTTACAAGGAATTTCTTAAAATTAGCAATTAGTTATTAATTTAAATTTCATATCATTTTAATTGTTCAATGCTGTATTTTATTTCATTATCATTTTAAATGTTCTCATATTTTTACAAATTAATTTAATTAAATGTTAATGATAGGTCTAAAGCAAAGCTCGGGCTTCCTTCTAGTATATATATAAAAGATATTACCAATTGACATATGAGAAAAAAAAATTTTGTTATGATGACTACTTAGAAAAACATGATGTACTATGAATGAAAATATGAATCAAAAGGACAAATAGGTTATTATTTTAGGTCTAAAAACCCATCTGTCAATAAAAAATTTAACTGAAAGTCTAAATGAAGGATTTTCGTTGGTAATAGATGAATGGATGTAATGGGAACATAATTGATTATATCTCTAAATGAGGTATAAATAGATGTATAAAAGGGGGTTGTTAAGTTTTATTTGGGGCCATTAGTAAAGATTTTTAAAATACCTCTAAATGACATATTTGTAGGCTTATCAATTAGATGATAATTAATTAAAGGTAAATTTTTAATTAGAGTGTATAGATAACTTTTAAAATGATAATATATAACAAATTTAAAAATAATAAGTGATACTGTGAATTCAAATTTTAAATTACGTTGCTTTATTTATCCACATGTAATTTATGTTAACATATTTATCTTTTCAGATTTTTTAATTTGTGAATTATCAAATTAGATCAACATTTGATTTAAAATATAATAGAGATTTGAATAACTAATAATTATTTTAAGTACATTTATTTAAATAATAAATAGCACAAAAATAGGAACTGTGTCAGACCTTTTATGTGTCAAATAAATAAATTATAAATTTGAGGGTTTACGTAATAAATCTTATCTAATAACTATAAAATTTATAATGATATATATATATATATATGATTTAAAATATCTATATAAATTATTCACCGAAAAGTTTTTTTTTTTTAAAAAGAAAAAGAAGTCTTAGTGGTATATATTTTTTTAATCTTTTATATATAAAAATGTAAACTTTGAAAGTGAGAAAAATAATTAATTTAAATGTATCGAACAATTTTTTAAATTAATAATTTTGTCACTTTTATTATCATTATCATTTAATAAATTATTAATTATTTTGTTATCATCATTTAATTATTATTTCCTCTCTCAGTAAACTCCTAATGAAATACACTTATTCAAGTAATAGTCTTCATCATGTCATAATAAAAGTTCATAAATTCGAAAAAAAAGACACCATGTCTTTGGAAAAATGAAAACCAGCTCCTTAAAGTAAAGTTACTGATGATAACTTAATCTTATGGTGTTGACATACAATCTTTGTAAAACTAAGAACACACATAGCATAAATACACTTGGATAAGATCATATATTTGATATATTTCTTAATGGCCACTCCAGTCCTCAACGCGTGGAGCAAAGTCATAGAGTTGGATCAAGCCTTTTATTGAAGAAAAAATCTTAAAAGTACGAAGAAATAAATATTGTCAACAACTTAAATTATTATTTTTTAGATAATTAAAATTGTCAGAATTTAAATTTGATTATGAAAATTAAAAGTAACATTTTTTCTATGAAATCAATAGCTGATCTCAAATATTCATCATTAACCTACTTTAATAGTTTTGATAGATGGTTTGGATTGGAGATCATTAGCTAAAGCAATTGGTATAGTTTGAAAGATTACATTGTTAGAATTTTTCATAAGTGGGTTACTATTAATTGATGATTTTAATTTAATAAAATCGGTTGATGGATTTAGTCCTAATAGGAGACAAGCATGAGAACCCAATTAATTTAATGTGATCACCTAAGTGTGAAATTTGTACATTTTCCTAGGTCAATGTGGTATGGCAGTTGTATAGGCCTTTAGCTTAGTAAGCCTTTGATGGGGAGGCTACTAGTGTTATTTAATTAATAAGGCTAAAGTCTTCTCCTCACTTCTAATATATGGTAACTATCCATTTGAGAAACCGCCAAAGAAAAAAAAAGTGAAGAGAAGGACCATTGCCACTTTAGGGATTGTTTTGCTTCCGCGAATTCACGATAACTACCTAAATAGGCATGCCTAATATTTTTTATTAATGTATGGTGTTTTAATTTTCACACAATGATCTTAGGTTATATCATAAATAATGCAAAAAACTTACTTGATTTGCAGAAGAATAGCAAAAGCATTTTTGCAAAAGAGTTACGAAAGCAATATCGACTTGATTAACTAGTTGGGGATAAGATCACGTATTCAGAAATTGTCCACCATCCACAGCGTAATTCATTAAACACCAAAGCATAAGATTCCTTAAAGAGTTTGCAAGGAATGCCTTATTCCTTTGCTTTGCCAATCTCTTTTTTTTCCTCTCTTATTCTTTATTTGACTAATCACATAGTTCCACATATGAATTAGACTTATCTCATTCTTGGTTTGGATGAACATATTCATCCTTTTAATCATGATTGAATTCCATAATGGTTATTGAGAGAGAAAGAGGCTGACCTCTCTCTAGAACATTTTATTTTCATGATTTTTTTATATGGTCGGTTGCCATTTTTCATGTATAAGAGAAAGGCTTGCGGTTAATGCATTTTTATTCAAAACCAAGTATTAATTGCCTTAGGCAGTTTTTTGTATACTAACCACCCATTTTAGGTGGCATTTACCTACATTTGTCACTTGTATAGAATGGGTGACAAACTTTCATGGTCAATAGAACATTTTCTCTACTTTTGCAATGGGTTCATACAAGGAAATAAGCTATACATCCAGCATATTTCGAGAGCTTAGTTTTATATATGATTGTTAGGTGCATATAGCAGTTCAAAATTACATCTAGCCACTTATACAAATTTTAGGTATGTATAGTAACTCTCAAATACAAGTAGAGTAAGTATCAACACCTTAGATCTATTCAGTCACATTACATGATATACATGTGTATTCACAATTATATTCGACGTCTCAAACATAATTGGCTAGGTTGTAAACACAACCAAATATGACACCAGAATGATCTTCCTTTCTTCTAGAATCTTTTCATTTCAATTCAATTGCTATCCAGATATGTCTTATTAAATCTAATCATCCATGACTATTGGTAACAATCCAAGATAGCTAACATTGAACTGACACTTTAAGAAAAAGTCAAAAGTTTTTAAGGGTATAAATATGAGATCCTCTTATCTTAAGGGTTTCATGCAATAAGAAGTAAAAATCTATTTTTCTATTACCTTTATTGGTCAAACAATAAACATGTATATGAAACATCTACTATGGTATTACTCTCTTTTTCTTATGGAGCATTTGTCATTATCATTAGATATCAATACCATACAGGTGATAGTTCAGATACTCTTAATATCTAACTTGATTCCATAATTCTACTTGATTTTGCATAATCAATAGGATTTCCACCTGGCATTAAAGACAAACAAAGTGAACTATGGGATTATTCACTTTCGATCATAAAAACTTAATGTCATGTGACCTCATCTTGATCCCGTATTAAGGTGATTCCATTTTAAGTTTAGGCTCTTAATCCATAGCTTAAAACTAATCTCATCTTTATGAGGCTAAACCATTTAGGCAATTGTTTGTGTGAGAAGGTCAATCATCTATTCGACATACCTTTCAAATTATGTTATATATGTACATATATATATGTGTGTGCATGCTTTACAAAACAAAGTGATAAACTTTAACGACATTAATTACATTCAATATAAGTCAACTCAAATGGGAAAAATCATAAATTGTTCACATGAAATGTCTCAATTGAGACATCCTTATCTACACAACTTTAAAGATTTCATGTGGCTATGAAACATATCTTTAGGCATGGGCTAGTTAATGGATCTGCAATTATCTCATGTGTAGTAATGTACTTGGTGACTTTTTTTTGTGCAACCACATCTCTCACAAAATTATATTTGGTATATTTGTGTTTGGTCTTTGGGATTTATTTGTGAATATGATTGCTACTTAACTATACTTAACTATCGCAATTCATTAACATTGAATTAGACTTATCTTTCTTAATTCCTAAAAGATTAAAAAATCTCATAAGCCAAACAACCTCTTGCACTATCGTTGAAAATGCTACCAGTTCAGCTTTTATTGTAGGAACAATAGGTTAAATT